TACGGTCGGTAGGTACGTGGTACGGTTACGGTAGGTACGTAGTACGTTACGTAGTACGTACTACGTACGTACTACGTACTACGTACTACTACTCGTCTCTCTCTCTCTCTCTCTCTCTCTCTCTCTCTCTCTCTCTCTCTCTCTCTCTCTCTCTCTCTCTCTCTCTCATTTTTCCAATACTGGGTAGATCCTAAGTGTTTTTTTTCAGTTGTGCATACACAGTAGGTGTTCCCATGCAGTCCAACTAAATAGATCATTTATCAATGTAAATTATAGAATGAAATTTATTCCATGCAGTCTAACTAAATATATCCTTTTATCAATCAAAATTATTGAATGAAATTTAATTATCATTATCCTGCTATATGTATTGTTACACTCCCTCAAACATATAAATTTGATTAATTTAGTAATGCCTTACTCTTTTTCATCGCAAGTCAAACAATAATGTTATAAATTCACTTCATGAGACTTAAATTATCTTTGGACAAATTTTGACTTTTTTTTTTGGTTTTTGTCTCCAAGTTGAAATTTTTTAATAACTCCCCAAGTTTTTCTCAGTCAATGGGTTCACTCGATTTAGGCTTCAAGATGGGAACTGAGTTTGAGATTTTAAGTAGTGTTCAGAGGACTGGGAGTGGCTTGAGCTGCACTAGAGCATTGTGAGACCCTAAGAAAATAGAAGAACACATTGTGCTTTTTGTTTTGACCACATGGGAGAGAGATAGACTTGCCATAGGCATTCAATTGAGTGAGTCATCCAAGATCTCAGCTATTCAAGTTATTTGGTCAATTCTAGTATGCCTTGAGTATGTTCCTAACCATTCTTAAAAGATGGCGATTGCATGACATCCCTAGATGTGTTCCATTATATTATTGTGTAGAATTACAAAAACAAATATGTGGACTTCATAAGAAAGCTTCCTGTAGAAATTCCTAGAGAAAGAAGTTAGATCAATAAAGTCCACATCTATTCATACAGATTAGGGAATGTGAGCATATTCCCAGATACTTCTTATATAAACAATCACAAAGTTTCCACTTGTGCAAAACTCACATAATTTGGCCAATGGCTTCGAACACTTCCATTAAACCCCTATGTCACAACTTAAAATATTCAAAGAAAATGAAAAAAACACATTCTAATGCTCAATGATATTCAACAGAATCATATGTAAATTTCAGAACACAAAAATCACGAAAAGGTAGGTAGCAAGTGAATCGACATAGTGTGATAAAAAACCCAGCACTGATACAGCACGCAAGGATTTATCACTTACCACATTGTGTGAGTCATCCTTAGGTATCCAAATATAGGGCCTTCCCCTCCTGAATACGTATGGAACCTTCGAACTGTGAATCTCCTCATTGCTGCCATAAATACAAGACATATGAATTAGCTTGAGCAAAAAAAAACAATCATTTGTAGACCTAGGTGAAGAAATCCTATCAAGAACACTATAGAACTGAAAAGAGAAGCTTACAGATCAGTAATACAAGGACTTTGTGATGTAAGGAGAAAAAGTGGGAAATTGAATCCACCGTTCTCCTGAACCTTAAACAAGTAAAATCAGCAAGAAAAAAGAAAGAACATGGCTATAAATCAAGCCAAGAGAAGAACAACTTTCTTCTTTCATAAAATAAAATTTATTCCAATAACATCTGCTCTAAACTATGGCATCCAACCTTTTATGAGCCCTATGAAACCCTAATTTAACTTGAGATTCAAGCAAATATTTAATACTCTAAAACACCCCCTAAAACAATACCAAAATTCCAAAAATATCTTTGTGAACAGTAAAGTGTGAACAATAACGCATGAATAGTAACACCTGAACAGTAACATGTGAACAGTAATACATGAACGGTAATGCGTGAATAGTAAAAAAAAATAAAAACCCTAAAAATTCTAAAAACCCTATAAATAAACCCTAAATCTAAAACTACAATATACATCATTGAAATTGAATAAAAATACAAAATAAGAAGACTTTTGCCCTCCATCACTTTGCCGGATATAAACAGCCATGGATATGCCTATATTTTGCTATAGTATAGTATTGCAGATTTTTGTGTATAAGTACCAATAGCAGTTTATGGGATTATCAGTAGACCCAATTATGAAATAAAAAGCACCACCAGAATAAGAAACAAAAGACAGTTCAAGTAGAGTTGTTAAGCAACCAAGCTACTCACATCTTTTTCCAAATGGGCACTTATACTATTCAATCAGTACAAGTGCTATATATCTCATACTCGAAAAGCAAACATCAACTTAAATGAATTTCAAGCCATCAAATTAGCTAGCAGTTCTTACCAGGTCATGTTGAAGAATAAGTAAATATATTAGCACAAACATATAATCAAAGTGCATCCCCCTTATAATCGTTGTTATAAAATGGTTATGCCCCTATTACGGAATTGAGGGAACGAAAGAATGAACGAGAAGGACCCCGTCAAGATTTTTATTATATTGGCAAGGATCCATAGTTAACACGTGGAACTCAAATGTGTGAAATCTGCATGATCTAGGTCTGCTATGAATGCCAAATCATATTTTAGTATCCAAAGAATCTTCATCAGAAGAAAAAGATGAGATAAGAAAATAATGCAAGACAGTTGAGTGCTCAGATAAGTTGGAATGCATGTCTAGCAACGAAAACCAACAAGCAGCATTGAAATAAAGTACATGCCAATGAAAATACACCAGATAATTTGCATAGCATAAATATGCAAGGGTATATGCAGAAAAGAGGCCAAAATATATTTATAAATTGTTTCATGCGTGCAATAAATCTACAAATGCTATAAAAGTAAGTGCAGTGTGAAGGGAGCAAGCAAAAAAATAAAAAAATTAAAATATTGAGAGACTATTCTATCTCATAACTTGAAAGGAAATCCACCCCATAACGAGTCTCTCCATGAGCCTCTAGAAAAAAAAATATTTTTCTATGTTCTTTTCCTAAACCATCATTTACATATTTATACGAAGAACCATAAATATCTAACTTGCTCCAAGGGAAACCCCAATTACTATAAGTCTCAGTGTTTCATCCTTTCAAAATGGAACTTCCTAATCCAGTCATCAATTCTCTACTACAACAAAAAGACATATATGCCCTAAGATAACTAAAATAATAACAGACCAAATAACACTAGCTTCAATAACCAAAAAAATATAATAAAATAAAATATAAAAACCCTAACTGCATCATTCGCCAAGGGATGGGAGAATTGGGAGAAGCCCAACCTCAAGCTTGTGTGTTTATCGCGTCCTTCCAAGAACTTTTCAATAATTGATTATTGAATCCCACGATTCACTTAAGTACTTTTCCGGGATCAATAAATCAATTAATAAAACACTTATGTGCAACTTTTAGAGGAACTCTTAATCTTAATGCCATTTCAAGCTCCAAGGGATGCATTCCATATGACAAAGCCAAATTTACATTTTCTTCATGATGGATCGAAATATACATCAGTTTTAAGTTGATATCGCAGTGAAGTTTGATGCTCAATCAACTGGATTATGATTGACCTCTTCATGACCAAGAGTATTTTCCAATGATTACATAGTTATAGAAAATCCTTGTCCAACACTTACATAGTTATAGAAAAACCTCAAAAATCTAACTTGCTTCATAGGAAACCCATTTACTATTAAATCCTAACCTTTCATCTTCTCAAAATTAAATGTCCAACTCTAACCCTCAAATTCTCTAAACAACAATGAGACATAAATACCGTAAGATAACCAAAAGAACTAAAAAACAATAATCCTATTTTCAATCTCCTAAAAATAATACAATCAAATTATTTATTAAAAAAAAAAAACTGCATCAGTAAAATTCTCCCAAATTACACCTTGAGTAGCTAACTCTTAAACCAAAATTAGGCATGCATGCTTTCAGATCAAACTATAGGAACCTAAAATTCTTTCAAATATTTAAGAGACTGATAATTGAAATATGATAATGGGACCCACTTCAAGTACACTTCGCAAACTTGCTCCACATTGATAATTCATATTTCAGCAATCATGACTTAAAGAAGATCCTTACAGCTCAATCACACCAATAAGCTGCAATATTTGATGCAAATAAACTCAGAGCTAAACATTCATTGCAATCATAGCACATTACAAGAATCACCTTCCTTTAGCATCAGCTTTTACGGTATAAAGGACACCATGACAGTTTGCCCCCAAGATATTCTGCAAGCCAAAAAATCTAATAATTTAATTTATGCAACATTCAGAGCAATAAATCAAATTCAGATACAATATACACTGATTGAAATCCACATTTAATGCAAAACATAGAATAAAGAAAACCATGAAATAGAAGATAACCAAAGTAATGAAATGAAAAGCTTCCTAAAGAAGTGGTCCATCCACGTTTCCGGGGGATGGAGCTCTTAAAAATTGGCAGTTAGCTGTGTAGGGATCTATTTTTCGTCCGAGAGTTGCCTGTGGGTGCTCTTATGCTCTTCCAGTAATACAATCATTAACTTCACTCAAAAAAAAAAAATTGGCACTTAGCTTTGGGTTGGAATCACACAAGCAGCCAAAGGACAGTTTAAAAACACTAATAAAGAACAATACTTTCCTTTGGAAAAGACAGACAGGCCATGATTCTTAAATACTACCCAATAAACACTCCTTTTATAGAATTGCCCAGAAAAATTGGATCCTGCAGACACAAAACTTTATGACAAGCATTCCATATCTAACGCTGTGTGTGAAGCTTAATATTATCTAACAGCAGAGACATTCAACATGACATAGATATATCAAATTTGTAATCAGCTCAAACCTGGATAACTAGAACTCCTTTAAATTAGCAAATTTTTTATACCAGCATTTCAAGTCAAAGAAGCCAAATGTTAAAAGCTTTTGAAACAGTTATTATTATTACCAACTATTCAACATTTGGCAGGTAACAATGGAACTCTCCTGCTATAGGAGTTACAAATTCAGGGGGAGGCCTCCATATTGACAAGATCAAAAATGCTATTTCCAGTATATTCAGTGGTTTTTTAAAGACTTTACAAGATCAATGATTGCATATGCCCCTGTAACAGCATTCATGATTATGTGGATGCAATATAATCAAATAACCAATAAAAGCATGTTTTAATGGGGCCCTCCCATGCCAAAATGGCACTACGGTCAGGATTGCAGCAAGAGAAAGTCATATTGGAGGATGGTTCTTCAGTCAATGGCAGGTTCAGTGGTGGAGTTTGTATTGCTAGCAAGCTTAGTAGAAAGTGTCAATTATCTTCTCAGCTCGACAACATGCCTAAAGTAACTTCAGCAACATAATAATATAAAATTCCACCCCAGAGTGGATCATTAGGAGTCAAGGAAGGGCTGATGGGGCTGGAGAGGACAAATAACGCAATTGCAAAATCAGCTAGAATGTTAGACGACAAAAGCAGCAAATAAGTCCCTTGGCAACAAGCCAACCTTATCATCAAGAGATCATACCGAAGACAGAAGAGGACTCCCGTTAATTATGGATGGACAACATGCTTGAACCCAGGATCTAACTCAATCAAGAAATTGAGAAGCTATATGTATCTTGAGAAAAAACAAGACTACTTGTGCCTTGACATTGAGCTCAGCTGTTCAGTGCCACAAGTAATAAGAGAGGACAAAGGTGACAACAAAGTCGTGGCCCTTGTCCAGGGCAAATGCATGCATCAATTGGAAGAGGAATCGTTTCCAAAAAGTCCCATTGAACCATCTTTGCTCCTCAATCTTTTGATTGCATGTGCCCTCCAACAAAGTACCCTGCTTCTCGATTGACTGAGGTTTTGAAGACTCTACTAGGCCCCCTAATCCAAATTGTTCCCACATTAATTTTTGCCAGGTCACACCAAAACATTGACTGATTACTTAGAGACTACATCGTAGTCATCCAACAAGTATATAACAGTATCGGATGATACATTAGTTTCAAATTCATAAAATTAAAATAATAATTATATTTTCAAAACAACAGTGTGATGGATGATACTGTGAAAATTCTGGATACAATAGATATAGCAGGTGTGTCACTTCTTATATGTATATTTTCAAGAAGTAACAGATTTACAATGGACGTAATTGGTATATTTTTAAATAATATAATGGGATTTATGTTGTCCTGTTGCCTGTGTATCTCAAATATTAGGAACCCATATGTTGGCCATCATGCTGAATGTATCGGCTGATACTTATATTGTACAACTTCATGTTTCAGAGATGTATCCTATTGAACAGGGCCCTGAATGAATATATCAGCCGATATATCCAATAATGTGATGGTTTTCTGAACTTTGATCCTTACACATGTGGATAGTGAAATAATCTCATCATAACAAGTAACAACTTGGCAAATTCTTCATCTAACATATTATCACAAAAACTAATAATGATAACAATCATCTGACATTTTGAAGCAAAGGCTACATCATCAATTTCAAATGAAATAGCTTGATAATGTCATTTATGTCCAAGAGAGCATTTGGCGCCTTCTCAGTAGTGATAACAAAAAGGGTCAGCATAATTACAACATGAAATAGAGTATTGCATACTATGATTGATCTCCACTTTAAAGATTTGACTCATTGCTAATTATGGACTGAGCAAGCAGGGGTTTAGAGAAGAGCTTTAGGATGAGTTGGAAAGATTAAGGAGGATTGCTAGGGAAGATAAAGTAACACAGGAAACTGTCATGTGATTACATTTCACCATTAGAAAGAGCTGTATGATGGAATGAACAGAATAATATGACTCTTCACTTAGTGTCATTTGCCAGGCGCTCTGATCTGTATGTGTCTTGAGGATTCAAGATTCTCATGAACTATTAAGCCTGAAGTGGAATGAGAATTTTCAAGTAGTCCAGGAAAAGCTCCTGTAACCCAGAGCAACTTGTTGCTGCAAGCCGTGTCACTTAAATCTGAGTTAATTTGGTTGGTTCACCCTTATTTAGAAGCATGGCACACCAACGCTTGTAAGAGCTTAATATGCAAGGTTGGACTATTTTTGAGTTTCAGAAGAAGTTCAAAATGTAGAAGAAGACGGTAATCTTGATGAATAAAGAAGTTTTCGGTAGAGTTGATGAAAGAAAATGGGAGTTGTGATGCAGGAAATGAGTACATGCTGTTACAAGACTCATGAGTGAAAAATTGTTACACTCATACTAATGAGCAAAAGTCTACCCTCAAGCTTCTGAAGCTTCCAGCATTCTCCCATACATCCTGTAGTCATGAATGCATTTTTGGTTCACCCAACAATTGGTTGGTGCTGAGTAAGTTTAGTGAGTTTCTAAATAAATGAATTTACTATCCAAGCAAAAAGCATACACCAGATGCTCACATAATGGTATACATGACCCAGACCTTAGGCATAATCTGATATGATACACAAGTTTTTGCGAAAAATTTATGCATAATTTTTTCAACCAACGCTGAATATAAATTTAAGATATTCATCTGCAGAACCCCGCCATGAAATTGTAAACTCAGAACTGCCATAATTTACAACACCTTATTGTTGGCATCAAAGAAACTTGATAGTGTGTCAAATATCAACGTAAAAAGCCAATGCTTCAAACTAAGCTTAATAATCTAACCATACCTTGCATCTCTCTGCAAGTGTCAAAACCATGCCTTTACTAGTCTTCATACTACTTCCAGTTAGATCACAAGGCCTTCTTATCAGGCATTAAGCAAGCCTAAGACCAGTTGGAAAGTATAAAGCAACATTAACTAATCATTCATTTGATACTAGAATGGTAGGATTTTAAATGAGAATTTATGAGCACATATACAAAAAGGAATCACAAGTATAAGTTGTTATGCATAACAAACTTATAGGCTTCAGTATTGAGTAATAAAAAAATGTTAAAAGAGAAATGATGAAGTAAGTGTGTACAGCATAATGTTTTAATAGGCAGCATGAAAATGAAAGCTAGATAAAATAAACACACACACCAAGCCTGTTTGACTATGATACAGAACAATAAACCAAGTCACCCCATTTCCATTTCCGAACAAACTATGCCCTTGACAATGTTATGAAAGTAAACACAACTCTTGAGATACTTGACTCGCACCTATCAGCACTCTTACCACTCTCCTGTATTCTCTAAGCTTTCTTTTGCAGATGCTCCAATAAATAACTCAATAAAGCCTGTATTATATCCCACCAACCAAGTTTGTTAGGCTTCTGCATAGCCTGTGTTGTTTGGAATTCATCAGCTTATCTATTCCACAGACACTGAACAAGCCATGTTTCTATCAGAAGTGAAGTTGTAAACCATTAAACAATGCGTGGAGTTTGAGGGAGACATAGACCTAGGGTACATGTGACCCAGATCATGGTCCAAGGCCATTATATTCTTGATCACCGATCCTCGCAATTCATGAATGTAGTGACACACAAAATAATCCCAAAACAAACAGGAATGCACTCTTCTCCTATAACCACTAAAGCTTAGTTTTTAACATACCTCAAGCAGAGGGACAAATTCTCAAAGATAAACTATTAGGCTTACACCACCAAACAAACAGGAATACACTCTCCTCCTATAACCACTAAGGCATAATTTTTAACATACCTCAAGCAGAGGGTCAAATTCTCCAAGATAAACTATTAGGTGCTGTAACATGATATGGAGAATGCGAGAAACCATTGATTCAAGAAATATGCATAGTTCTTATCAGCCCATGAATGTAGCATATAGACTTCAATAGGATAAGGGAGAAAAAGTTTATAGATGCCTTTTAAACCATGTCACTGACTAAAGCGTACATTACAGTGAAAAATAAATTTCCCCACCTATTGAACATATATTTCCTCTAAAGCAGATCTATGATCAAGTAGAAGCAAGATAAGTTCTGATTTCAAACTACCCACTGCAAGTATGTAGTCTGAACCTAAAAAATATCATACTAGGCACATACACAAAATTACAGATTCAGAGCAATTTCATTGGAAACAACATTAAAAGTGATATGCAGTAGTAAACTACTTCATATTAAAACAAATTCACGCACTGAAACCTATTTGATTCTCAGAAGAATTTCACTTGTCCACACTGAGCAAATTTAATGCATTTGAAACCTCTGCTTTTGATCAAGCAATTTGCAAATTCTATAAAATATTCATAGAGACAAAAGAACTTGGCAATAAATCACTACTCACAATGAATTTCACAATTTATTATCCGTGACAACCTACTGCATACAAGCAACCATCTTTTTTGGATGGAGAAAATTAAATTAGGGTTTTCAGCAATGAATTGTTTTAAAAAACGGGTCTTGAGGTTTCTTAGACGAATATCAATGGTCCTATGAAAACAATGTTCAGTTATATCACGAAGAATAGGTGTTCAATATAGCAAAAATGAAAAGTTGATAGTAAACCAGAAAAACAAGCTTGCTTCTTACAGCCAATGGTTCACCCAACAGGCCCTTGTTAATCGCAGAGAAAAAGAGAGTGAGAAGAGAAAGATAGAGAGAGAAAGTGACGAGTACCGACTACCAAGAGTGTTGCAATGAGAGAGACAATAATATGAGCCGGCTGCAAGTGAACCAGTTGGGTACTTCATTTTAGAGGCAATCTTAGAGCGAGACCATTGAAACTCGGGAAGGAGTAAAAAAATTGCTGGGCCTGGCTGGGCCAAAAAACATAAACAAAAGAAAAAATAACAAAAAAAACATGCCGGGCCCGGTGGAAAACAGCTGGCCAAGCCCTACCCGTCTAGGGCTGGACCAACCGTCTGGGCCGGGCTTCCCGGCCCATACCATTCCTCAAAAAAGGAGCTCACAACTTTTCTTAGTCATCAAATTATAGAGCGTCTTGAAAATAAAAAAAATCAACTTGGACCCTAATACATGACCCACACAGCCTTCTGATTTCAAGTCTACCAATCAAAAGTTACTGTGACCTTATCATACAAAAGGTAATAAGTGCTTTTATTTTAGATATTTCTGGAACAACTAACCACTAGTCTCGATCTTAGTTCGCAAGTCTCGAAATAAACTATGATTTTTTAAAATTTATTGAATTACTCACAAGAGATGAACAATTTAACACTTTGCCTATGCCTTCTGAATTAATTTTGAAATATCCATAGAAATAATACATTGTCTTGAGTTAGAATATTTAGTAAACTACTTCATCTCTTATGGGTATTCCGACAAATTTTCCAAAAAAAATGATTCTTTGAAATATGTAAAAAATTACTTGTTTTTCAAATGATTTAAAAATATATATGGTTTTTTAAATCAGTAAAAAATTCCAAGTTCTTCAATTAAATGAAATGTTCCCTTACTTTTTCATTTTTTTTCTTTTTTTCTAAGAGAAAAAGTTGCATATTAATAGGAAAACTTGGCAATATATCATTGAAATCAAAGTTCTTGCAAGTTGGTTTTTCTAAAGGGTGTGGTTTCTATAACGTTGCGACCTTAAACAATCCAATTAAAGTGCACCTCCAAATTTTATTATAGCATGTAATTTTGGTGTAAAAAATGATTGGGATTATTTGAAATTTTATTTTTATATCTAATTATAAAAAAATTAATTCTAAAAATAGTTAAAACCAAGTAGATCTATACATAAATAGAAATATTGAAAATTAACGGTCTAGATAAGGTGTTACAAGATACACTATTTTTAAGACTCAAAATCTTTTCTTTTTTTTTCACATTCATACATCTTGATGTTGAGATAATCAATTAAAGGGTTTTTCAACAATAAAACAACATTTTTCGATAGATTTTTGAAGTGCATCCTTAATTCTACATTTTAAGGTTGCAACCTTATATAAACTTTTTCCTTTTCTAAATGATTATTGTCATGCCATAACAACTCATAACCATAGTCGTTTTCTTTAAATAGAAGGCGATTTTCCACCCAATTACTGTGGAGTTCGCTTAGGGGAAGCTGCAAATGAGAGCTCGACATTGAATCGGTTTTCGCATCCTAAGGAGACTAGCTTGTGTTAATGTTCAATAAATAAATAAATCCTAAGGAGACTAGGATTGGAAATGGGCTGGGACCCGTTAGGGTGAGCCGTGTCCTTCGCATGGCCATTGTCTTTAAAGGGCTAATCCTAGGCCGGCCTGGCCTTATCCGGGCTGAAGAAGCCCTAACTCAAGGGCTAGGTTGGGGGCCTTGTCGTTATGGCCTTGGCCCAGCCCTAACTCGACGCTACCCTTGAGCCGTGGTGGCTTGGGCCTGACCTGGCCTGGCCCTCGGGCAACTATTTGTTGCAAAATCTCGTGTTGTTTGGAAGAATGTTCAAAGTAATTGATCGGGCCGATTAGTCAGTCCTGGCCTGATCTATTAGGTCGACCAATTCCGGCTAATCGGCCTATTAGTGCCCTGATTTTTTTGAAAAATACAATTTTAGTAAAAACAAATCCCAAAAAAACTCAAAAAATCCCAAAAAAATTATAAAAAAAATTTAAAATTTACATGTATTGTTTTTAATATTGTCACATAAATAAACAAAAAAATAAATATTATAAGCATAATTAGGTTTCGGAGAAAATGATTAGGCACATGAAGCAATACTTTTTCAGTGATCAATATATAATAAATATATATTAATATTATATATAATATATAATCAATATAGTATATATAATGTAAATTATATTAATAAAATAAATATAAATTTATAATATATAATATAATATTATAAAATAGTATAATATTTCAACTCAATACAATGTTTGTTTTTTTTGGGTATTTTGGAATTCAATTAAAAATATAAGTAAAATATAAATTTGTTGGTCTCTTTTGTTACAATTTTGATAAATTTCCATATCTCTCTCTCTCTCATATATATGTGTCTAAGTGCCCCTCGGGAGTTGGTGGTGTAGGTATTAGATTGAAGATCAAATCAGATGAACAACGAAAAAATTATATATCCCTTTAGTTGAGGGACTTATGGGCCTGGCGCCTTGTCGCGCACGACTAACTCTGGTGCATCTGAGTCTACTCGCCCAAGGCGGCAAATGCAGTTAGCAAATAAAAAATTTAGGAAAATTGTTTCATAGGGCTGTACCGTATTTATACAATATGCGGTCCAGAGGTATAAAGCATCCATCTTAAAGATGGATGCAAATGGGTGGTCCATCCAAAAATAATTGTAACTAACGGTCTAAATATTTTCTTAATATAATTATTATTTATAGTTTTCAATTTTTTTATTTTTTTCATATTCATGATCTGCATGTTAAGGATTATATACTCTCTAGAACTTAGGATCAAATTATATTTTAAAACTATATCTATTGCCAAGCCCACATTTCTACACTATGCAGGCTGGCCGTATATAAACAGTGTTAAAAAATTTATAATAATATATAAATTTTTAAGTAGAGAAATAAAAAAATAGGAAAAAAAAAAAGAAGAAGAAGAGAAATATATAAAAAATGTTATAATGACAGCTTTGCGGACTCTGCACTGTGACAGCACACTTATTGGCCGATTTTTAGAACAAATAGCTGATTAGTACACTTATCGGCCGATTAGTGTCAATCAGTCCAATTAATGCACTAAAAAAAATTGCTGCATACATGACTGTTGGAATCGGGCCAAATCGGGATCGGCCAATGACCGATCCCGAGTTAGTCGGCCGATTTCCTAAAAATGGGCTGATCTTTTAAACACTTGTTTGGAAAGAGAGAATACGAGAGAGAAGAGATAGGTTTGAGATAAACCATCATCATCACCATCCGAGCCTTATCTCAAGAGATAAATCATCATCATCGTCGTCCGAGCCTTATCCCAACTATTTGAAAAATTTGGGATAAATAAGAGAGAAAAAAATAAAGCATTGAAAGCTCTACTTTCTCTCCTGGAATGGCTGCCAAAATCTACACTATCGAAAGTGAATTGATGGTGCAATTGATGGCAACCTTACCCGTAAGCTTCACTAAATTTTGTATCCTTCATAAAATAGCCACTTTGTTCGTAAATTTATTGGTTCCACTACCTTACTAATTGGTTTCTAAAGGTGGTTTTGACCATTATAATGATACTCTATACAGTTTTTTTCTAAATGGGATTTTAATGTTTCAACCCACATACCTATTGAGATGCCATCTCTTTCCAAAAGTACATTTAGGGTTGATATAAAGTTGAATGTTTTGCTGTGGAATGTATAAATAAGTTATGGGTATTGTATTTGATAAATGTTGGAATGTTAAGAAAGTTATGGGTACTATGTTTGATAATAAATACATATTAACTATATAAATATATATATATTTTTTATTATTTTATATAATATTTATATTATTGTATTATAATATATGATTATATTATAAATCATATATTTATTATATTAAATAAATATTATATATAATATAATATAATAAATATATATTATATATTATATATGTTATATATAATAATAGTATAATATAAGATATTTGTATATTATGTATATAATATTTAGAAAAAATTATGTATATATCCATTATAGTTTCCATTATTGTTAAAATACCAAATAGTTTCCGTTATTACTAAAATGTCCATTTTTTTCACTTCATAACAAAAATTTTGGAAAAGACTTTCTTACACTTTTTTGGATTTTTGAATAACTGAAATGGCTAGATTTTTGGTTGTTCAAAAATTGAAAATAAGCTAATTTCGATTATTGAACAACTGAAAATGTCAGGGCTCGTTTAAGCATATGGAATACGCAACCCTATTTTTGGTTGTTTAACAACTGAAAATATGACACTATTGGTTGTTGAACATTCGAAAATAAGAATGCAAATTCCAAGCTTTTGTCCTATTTTCGATTGTTGAACAACCGAAAATAGGACTGCGTATTCTAGCAAGCTTCCATAATACACGGTTATATTTTCTGTTGTTGAACAACAAAAAACAAGACATTTTCGGATGTTGAACAACAAAAAATAGGACTGCATATTCCAGTAAGCTTCTAGAATACGCAATCCTATTTCGGTTGTTCAACAACGGAAAATAAAAATACAAATTCCAAGCTTCTACTTATTTTCGGTTGTTCAAAAACCAAAAAAGGGTAAAAAAAACCTTGTTTCAAAATTTTCTTTATAAAGTGAAAAAAACGGATATTCCAGTAATAATGGAAACTATTTGGTATTTTGGTACTAATGGAAACTATAACGGATATATACATAATTTTTATTTATTATAATATATATAATATATTATATTATTTATTTATTATAATATATATAATATAATATATTATATTATTTATTATATAAGATATTTATATAATATATAATATAATAATATAAATATAGGTTATTTTAGGGTGCTCACATTATCAAGTAATTTATCATTGTAGTCAACAAAATTTGGACATTTTATTCCATTGTTTGTACATGAATCATTTTTTTAACAAGGTTATTTTTTGTCATTAAGAGGGTATCACATTATCCATATGGGGTGTGACATCACGTACATGGAGTACACTAGTGGCAGTTAATGTTCCATATAGGTGATGTCACACTCCATATGGATGGCGTCACACTGCTTCTAATGACAAAAAATACTCTTACTAAAAATCATAAAGTACAAAATAAGGGTATATAAGTGTCCAAATTTACAATGATAAATTACTACATAGTGTGAGCACCATAACATAACCCGATAACTATT